ACCTCTGTCGCGCCGTGTCGCACTCTCACGCCGTGGAAAACGTCCTCGTCACACCACGGCAAGCCTGCAGCGCTGCGGCGCCTGCTGTTATCTCCCCGTCGCGCCCAGTTCAAGGCCGCGGCCGCGACTCCTCCTTCACCGCGGCCGCGGCGACCAAAGCAGGCTCAGTACCTTACCTTCAGACGAGAATTTTCGCGGCCTCGGACTATCTCGCGGCCGCAGATCGCTTCTTCACCGCAGCCCGCGATTTTTCCCGCGGCCGCGACCTGTGCGTCCCACAGATTTTAAAGTTCAGAAATTGAGAAACGATATTATTATGTTCTCCGCTTAGGTTTTAAGCTTTATCGTTTTTCTTTCACTGGTTCTTTTCTTTCTTCCTACTTTTGATCTGGAACTCGGATTTAAACTCGGATTTGGCTATTGCTTTCGGGATTAATTTTGTTTATCGAATTCGACATTGGGATTTTATCAATTGTAAGATTTCTTTTTCATTTAATTGATGATATGGATCTTTCGATTGAGATGATGATTATTGTTGATTCAATTATGAGTAGCTAAATTAATTGCTAGGGATTAGGGGATCGATGCTTTGAATTTGTTTGTGATTGTTGGGCTCAAGATTGTTCAATTTATGCGATTCATGCTTAATTAGGGTTTTCGATTTATGCTTGAATGTTGAGAATTATTGAAGGGTGACACTTCGATTTTCAATTATTTAATTGAATTTAATTCGTTCTCGCGTGATATTGTTAACTCTATATCGGCTAGTTGATTAACCATCTTCTAGGATAATTTAATCGACTCTTAGAACCGAAAGAGGAGGAGTCGGTCGAAATAGATTCGCATGAACTAGGCTTGTTCATAACTGTATTGCCTAGAAGTTAATTGACTCGTTAATTTGCCGTTCTAGTTTATTCTCTTGTTACGAAAAGTTATTGAGAATGAATGCTTGATCAGGTAGATTATTCGAATTTCTTGGCTGAACAATCACTTGCCCGTTAGTTGCATCTCGAACCAAAGCGGATATCCCCGACTTCCTAGCTTCGTTAAATCTTATTTGTTCTACGTGCCTGTTTGCTATTTACTTGCTTTATTTAATTTATTTGCAGTAGTTGATAATCAAAACCAATCATCTGAATTAGTATGTTTAGGAATTTTATTTCTTTTATTTCTTTTTGTGTTCTTGAATAAACGCACATTATATTCCAGCTAACCTTCCTCGTGAGACACGACCTGGTGTTCGAATCTTTCGATTCTACTCCGGAAAATATTTACAACATCTGCCCCATTTTGATCTTTATAGCAAAGCCTTGAGCAAAAGTAGGAAGGACTGCCATCCAGTTGGACCAGAGCCAAGAGCAGTTCTGTGGTTTGACAACGTCAAAAATTGAAAAGTTGGGGAAATATTTGTCCTTCAGTAACCTACTCACCAGCAAGGAAGGTTGAGTGGTAATCCTCCAAAGTTGTTTGCATATCAGAGCAGAGTTAAAAAGTTGCATATCCAGGAAGCCTAAACCCCCATGATCTTTTTGGAGAGTGATATTTTGCCAGGCAGTCCAGTGGATCCCATTAGAATGTTCTTCTGAAGTAATCCACCAGAAATTAGAACAAAGAGATGAAATTGCTGTACACAAGGATTTTGGGATTCTAAAGCAGGACATAGTGAACACTGAAAGAGCTTGTAGGACAATTTTAATGAGCACAACTTTCCCAGCTTGAGTGAGCAGCTTAGATTTCCAGCTAAGGAGTTTGGTTGAGACAACATCCAAGATATATTTGAAAGTATCCACCTTAGATCTTCCTATACCCAAAGGCAGTCCCAGGTATTTGGTTGATCTGTGAGGTGTGATTCCATGCAGAGTGGAACAGATGATGGATTGAGTGTGCTCAGGAGTGTTTCTACTAAAAAATAGAGTAGATTTACTCAGATTAATAGCCTGCCCTATGAAGAGCTTCTACTTCTCCAAGATAGTCAAGATAGTCTAAGATTGATCAGTGCTAGCTTTACAGAAGAACAGAGAGTCATCTGCAAAGAGTGAATGGGATATTGCAGGTCCATTCATTGAGATTTTTAACCCTGTCAATGCCCCTGAGGCAACAGCATGAGTGATCAATGCAAATAACATCTCAGTGACAATAATGAAGAGATAGGGGGATACAGGATCCCCCTGTCTTGAGCCCCTTATAGGAATCACAAAGCCATTGACAGAGCCATTGATCTTGAAAGAGTAAGAACAGGTAGAGATGCACACCATAACAAGATTGATAAAGTTCCTGTGAAAACCCATCTGCAGCATAATATTCTTCACACATAGCCATTCAACTCTGTCAAAGGCTTTAATTAAGTGAAGTTTGAGGGCCATGAAGCAATTTTTCCCAGTGTTATGTCTGTTTAAGAAATGGAAGGCTTCTTGACCTATTACCACATTGTCCAGTAGCTGTCTACCCTTAATGAAAGCTGACTGAGAGGGACTGATACAGTCAACTAAGCATGATTGGAGTCTGAGGGCAAGAATCTTAGAAAGAATTTTGTACACTACTGAACAAAGACTGATAGGTCTAAATTGTGAGACATATTCTGGGTTTAGACATTTAGGGATGAGGGTTATAATAGTGTGATTCCAGTATTTGAGCAAGGAGCCTTGGTCAATAAAGAAACTAGTAATGGCCAAAAGCAGGTCATCTTTTATAATATGCTTGATAAAATTGAGCAGTCATACCATCTTCTCCTGGGAATTTGTCAGGGTGTAGGCTGAAGAGTGCAGTTTTGATCTCTGCTTCAGAAAAGCAGAAACAGGTTGAAGAAGTTGAGAGTTCATGTGAGCTGTGATTGATGAAGGGATAAGGTGGAGCATGGAATCCCCACCCCAGGAACCTTCAGAGGTGAACCTGTTGGTGTAGAAATCAGATATGTGGTCTTGAATATTTTGTTGAGTGACACAAGGTCTATTCTGAGCAGTGAGAAGTCTTGTTATATCATTCTGTCTCCTTCTCTGTTGAGTGTAGGCATGGTGGAACCTTGTGTTACTGTCACCCTCTTTAAGCCACTGGATTTTGGCCTTTTGTATCCAGTAAATTTCCTATGACTTGTGTGCAGCATCCAACTCAGCCATTCTTTCCAATTAACTTCGGATTTGTTCTGGTGAAGAATTTCCAATTTTTGAGTTAGAGAAGAAATCAGGGGCTGATTCTTGGATTTGAATGTTGCACTTCATATCAGTAAGGCTCTTCTGGTAGCTTTGATTTTCTCTTTTAGAATGAAAAAAGGAGTCCCTATGTGTTGAGTATCCTAGGCTCTCATAATCACTTCAGCAATTCCCTCCATAGATAGCCACCTCTTATCAAATGAGAATCTGCTCTTTTTCCTATCTTTCTTATTCCCAGAGTTTAGCAGCATCATGGAATGGTGTGAGGCAGATCTTGCAATGGTGGAAATGTGTGCTTGAGGATGAGAGTCCAGCCAGGTTGGAGAAGCAAAGCCCCTGTCTAGTTTCTTTTCCACCAAGCCATCATAGGATCTGTTATTGCACCAGGTGAAAGCATAGCCCTGCAACCTGGTTTCATCCATAGCCATGGAGTTTATGAAGTTGTTGAAGCCTGCCATGCTAGCTGCTGATCTTGGGAGACCCCCTTTTTTTTCCCAGTTAAGTTGTCATTCCAATCCCCAAGGATGAACTAGTGTTCACCCAAATTATCTCTGGCTAGTTCCAATGCAGACCACTGAGAGCTTCTGGTAATATTGCAGGGACTCAAATAGACAAAAATTCCCCAAGCGGGGATGGAATCAGAAGACATGAATTCAACAGAAATGTAGAATTGTTGAGTGATAATATTAATAATATGTACATCAGAATCCCAACAAAGAAGAAGTCCCCCACTTAAACCTAAGGGGTCAACAATAGCACATATATTATCAGAACCTAACTTCCTAACAACAGTTTTGACAAAAGCAACCAATTTTTTAGTTTCAGAAAGAAAAAAGAAAAGATGGGTGGTGAGTCTTACATGAATCTCTGATCTGGTTCATGGTCAATGACATATATCAATAGAGAGTCGGTTATTGGTCTGGATTTCTTGCCAAACACACTTACCTCTTGCACAGTTCCTCCTCTTGCCTTTGAAGTCTGCCCTTGGAGGACTCGGCCCTTCTCCAGGTTTTGGATTTGCTCAGCTGAGTGTGTTTTGAGAGAGACTTCAGAGGAACAGAATGCACAGGTTGAAATACCTCAATCTCTATATCTTTGGATGGAGATATTATCTGGGATGAAGCCGGCTGACCTTGGGCAGGAGATGTAGAAATGGTAGATGATACTGGAACTAGTCTATTGATGTGAGGCTGTAAGTTGTCAGTGTGAGAGTTGGATGCCTTAGAGACCAGCTCTTTAGGTGGAGTGCCTTGGATGGGGAGGATTCTATTGTTGTCTTCTCTTGGAGTGGTTGGTGTGTGTGGAGGTTGAATGTCATAAGTGAAAGTTCTATTATGAGTGGAGGGGGAATTCTGAGATCCTGCATTATGCATACCAGCCCAATTTAAGCTTTCTGCCGCCCTAATCCACTCATTAAACTGACCTTCTTTAACCGTTTTAGTGCTTATATCTTTAAGTCTCTTTGAACAGTTGCGGTCCAAGTGACCAACAAACCCACAATAATGACAGTGGTTAACGAGCTTTTCATATTTAAAACTGACACTCACTACTTGACTGTTCAATCTGATGTTCGCACATCTGGGTAATGCTTCTGTTAGATCAATCGAGGCCAGAAGACGCATAATACTGCCTCCATGATTGCCTGCTCCAACAATCACTACATTTTTTACTTCTTTAAAAATTATCCCAATTTTCAGACCAACATCAGTGCTCAACCAGTTGAGGAGAACGTTGAATACATGTACCCAAAGTTGGAGTTCGCTGAAAATCGGGTGCTTGATTTACATACCTTCCCGCCATTGAGAGAGGACTAAATATTGATTGTCAAAGGTCCAATGGAGGCCTTTAGCAAACCCGTTCAAGATCTTCTTTATTCTGGAATATAAATTGGAAAAAGTTGTGACCCAATTCCTTAATCTCCATCGGCTCTTTAAGCTTCCATATGTTGCTCATAGCTCTTTTGAGTCCCATCCATGAAGTCTTTCTTTCCCCAATTATTTTTCCGAACATACTGCGCTGGCACTCGACAACAATGATTTTGATATCATCATTTGCTATATCAATGAGGTTGTGTTCCTTATCGGACAGAGAGAATCCATGGAGCCTTTGAGATAACTATTCGTCTTGCCCTACGCAGCTAGTGGAGCTCATAGCGATAACCCTAGACAACCAATCCCAACAAAGCGAGGCACAAAGAACAAGAGATCAAATCAAAAGAAGAACAGAAAGAGAGAATCAATCCACTATGAATCGCTCTCAATCGAGAGAATTTCTCACTTTAAATAAATACGGTTTACGTTATAGAAAATATGAGTAAAAGAATATTTGTTTTGCTAATAGAATTAAGAAATAAATATAAAGTAAATATATATTCTATAACTATTTTATGTACCTAATAAATAACAATTTCATATGAAAATTATACCATCGATGATCAAAGTAGACGACGTTCGACGGGATCTACTAAAAGCTTACTGGCCCACAAGCCCACTTGACGCAGAGGGAGAAATTTAAGGTGTCCATGTGGCCTTTAGAGAAGCACCCATGTAGAGGGAAAGAATAGATATATAGAGGGAGATTATACATTTTTTTATTAAAAAATTAAATCCTCCTTATATATTATTCCAGAATATGCTGAGCCTACGTGACTGCTTCTGGTGCTTCGGAATCTTACTTGGCAAAGAATCATGCTTCGTAATTAAGTTTGGACAAATAATATTGATATATTAATAATTAATAATTTAGGTTTGGACATTCCATAAATATTATTTAGCTAACTTAGGTATTTTAATATCATTTGGACTAATATAACCCTTTATTTCTTTGTAATTTTACATACTGGATCACTAAGTGACTAATATATCCTTGATTTTGATTTGTTTCCTTCAATTAGCTATTGAATTATAAATGTATTTTAAAAGTCGATAACTTCTGTATTTCGTATCGGTTTTACATATATAATATATCAAATTAATCATCTTTTGATGATCTTCGATTTGACATCCATATTGTATATATGAAATAAATAAATTATATTTATATTATAATAATAAAAAATAATAATACTTATTAAAATTTATTAGAAAAATAAAATTATTTCTCAGTTGATATGTTTATGCTTAATGTAGTTATATGTTGTAAGTTAAAAAATTATAATATAACACATGATTGTAAGTTTATGCTTAATACACGATTGTTTTACTTTCGAGATTTGGGCGTGGAGGAATGAGGGTAATTGGTCCCTTGTTTCGACGTTCAATATCCCTGCAGCTGTTGTTCCTCGTCAGATGTTGGGACTCTACAAGAACGAGAAACTGTTTTTGAAGGACTCGAAACGTAACTTGCTGCTTTACGATTGGGCTTGACATAATAATCATTCTTGAGCTCCTTTCGAGGACGTCATCAACCCAGAGGACCGGAACACGGTGATTGTAAACAATCTTAACGGCATATCGTGCATTCGACATTACTTACTACAATATAGAGTATGTTGACCCAATAAAATTTAGTCTCACCCATTGTAAATTAAATAAATAAGTATCGAATACATATGTATGTTTATTGTTTTACGAGTTATGAGAAGCGATAGTTCGCTCAAATTGAGAATCGACCCAGCAAGAAAACGGAAGTGCGACGCACTCCGGCTTTCGAGCCTTCGTTTGCTGGGATGACATCGCCAATGCTTTTTAGAAACAATCTAATTAGAACACCCATCGAGTTGTAACCAGGAGAAGGTTGGACTCACCAGCGACTAAATGAAAGATTCACTTCTTTGCTGGCCTGTTGGAAGGGCAAAGATGCCCAACGATCTCCCCTATGTACAAGTTCGGAGTTTGAGAAATAACATGAGTAGGCAATCCCCTACCCTCTCTACTCCCACCCAACTATATAAAGAGAAGAAAGACCGTCCCCCACCACCATTCTCTATGATAGATCAGCCTGGGTTCCTCCCACCCTGCTGTTATTACAACTAAGGACCTTTGGCTCTTCTGCTCCTCCATTGGCCTTTGATCAAGGTTCTAGGTGTACTTGACAAGACTGCACCGCCACCATAGTGTTTAAAAAAGGAGGTTCACCGCCATAATTACTGAGGTCTAGATTATTTACTTAGTCAGTATTCAAATAATCTTCTTCTCCCTAGGTCCATTCAATATTTAATAGAACTAGTGTAATTCATCTATTAAAGATCAGTTGAATCAAAATCACAGTACAGTCTTTTGCCAACATGTTGTTCAATACAGTCTAGAATGTGAATTAATTATTTATATTTTCACGAGGCACTGATAATGTGTTCTTTTTGTTCGACACACCGTACCACATTATCTACAATGTAAAATAAAGGAACTGTGTTAGCATAAATAAATAAACAAACTACGAACACTAATTTGACTAAAGACACACATCTCATTTAAAATAAATTGGGAGTAATCACAAAGCCGAGCTTCTACAGTATAGGTCTTTTATGGTGGAGATGAGGCCGTCTTTCCGTGAGTTACACAAAATAATTGATATTTCCCCTTCTTCTAGTGTCAAATTGTTGATTTAAAAATATTATATCAACACGAAAATATGAATATAATGTTGTATAAAAATGAAGAAGATGATAATAGATGAAGTTGTTCTCCTTTAATCTTTTTTGGTAGAATTTTCCTCTCCTTGTTTTTGATTCTTCCTTTTGGAGATCGATCATCCTTTTGGCCGACTATATCTAGGACCTAACATGTGGATCATAAATAATAAGAAATAAAATAATACAATGGTATTTAATTTGATGTCTTCGTAGGACCCGATTATGGGACTTGTCTGCTTCGATAGACGTCTATCTAGTCGATGATAATGGTTCTGCTGGAGATGGCTTCTTCACGATATTTGTATTGGTGGGATGGTAAGGTTCTGTCATCCTCGGTAGTAGACGAGCTCGGTATTCGAGGACCTGTTCATCATCTGTGGTCGAGGACACCTCGAAAATAATCCAGGTCTGTATCTAAAGTCCAATTCGAAAAAACTGTCGTTTTTATATTTATTTCATGTATTTTTTCAGACCCCTATTTACCATGCTACGTGTCACGCTTTTATTAACCGTGGCCAGATCGGGTATCAACATACTTATACGCACTTGATTAGTTTGGTAGTAATTGTTATAAAGATAAATAAATATAGTATATTTCTCTATATAATAAAATTAGTATAATACTATCAAGTGATAATTTATTTTAAATATAATTAATAATTTAAGTTTTAAGATAACACTGTAGCAACGCCATATTTTTTAATGTATTTTAATATAATTTTAATTATAATTTTTTGTATAATATGTATTAATATATGTATTTTTCTTCTATATTTGCTATAGAGTAAAATGTAGAGCGAAAACTTGTAGACTAAACTTGATTTTTGTTTCACTCTATTTAGAATAGAGTAAAACTCCGCCATAGAGCAAAAATAAAGGCCGGAAATAGGCTAAATTTTGTATGTACCCATTCATATTGCGAAGAAAAGTTACATTTTTTTTTATTAAAAATAAAAAGAAAAAAGAAAAAAACAGAAGTCGATTTTTCTATTTAGAATTAGAGTAGGTTGAACTAGAAATCTTTCTCATTACGATATAAATAAATACCAATATTCACATATATGTCCGATTCCAACGGTAGAGAGAGCCATGAGATCCCTCTCAAACACGAGGCGGATTAGCGTTTTCCAATGCCTTTCCCTCTCAAACACCACCAAATCCTCGAGAAAGACAAAGCGGATTAGCGTTTTCAGACGCCTTTCCTGCTGTACCAATCCACCTGCCAATGGCGATACGAAGCCTATCCAATCCGCTACTACTAGACGCCGAGATTCGACGACCAATCTCATATTCCTCGTCAGACACGTGCACAACGAAGGGCTCGATTACTCTGTAACAACATTCGAAAACAACAAAAACAGCAACTCTTTCAGGCTATTCCTGGACGACGATGATGATCTTCCTTACAACTTGTTGTCTGGAATCAGAGATAACAAATACTATCCTTTTTGTAAAATTCTCCGCTACCCCGTTTTAGGAAGTTGCGACTCCTATATATGGCTGCTACACGCAGAATCGAAACCGGTCGGCTGTTACCGCTCTGTTTTCCCAACTATGAAACTCGTGTGGTTGAGTGGCTTTGGGTTTGATCCTTTATCCAGAGACTACAAGGCGGTCAGATGTTGTATGCATGACTTCTATATTCCCACCAGGAAAGTCTACGCTGAGGTGTTGTCCCTCAGAACCGGTTCGTGGAAGGCGATTCCGTATCCTTACCATAGCAACGGGAGACATTCAGATATGCCGTCAATATGCATTAACGGTTTTCACTATTGGTTGGTTAATGATTGTAGGGGGGATGGTGGTTTTTCTATTATTTCGTTCGACTTTTCTAACGAGATGTTCGGTTCTGATCTTATTTGTTTGCCAAAGAAGGAGATGCTGAGGAACTTTGTGCTTGTCGAGTTTCATGGGTCGCTGGCTGTTATCTGCTGTGATTCCAAGTCTAAAGAGAGCGATTGTTTTACTTTCGAGATTTGGGCGTGGAGGAATGAGCATAATTTGTCCCTTGTTTCGACGTTCAGTATCCCTGCAGCAGCTGCTTTTCGTGAGGTGTTGGGACTCTACAAGAACGACAAATTGTTTTTGAAGAACACTAGAGGTGACTTGCTGCTTTACGATTGTGCTACCAGAGACTTGGACAATCTCGGAATCCATGATGAAGAACAGGTTGCCAAGGTTTTCCCTTACATTAAAAGCTCCGTTGGTCCAGTCACAGGTCCGGCGGTTAAGAGGAAATTTAATTAGAGCCCATTTTATGGCATCTTTCTTTGTTTGTGAGTTGCGTTTTTACATTTGTTTGAATGGTATCTGCCGTGGATGTCTATATGGTCCTTAGTTTACTTTGTTGTTGGACTGCTCCAGCACTTTTCCTTGAATGTGGTTTCTTTTGTTGTATTGGCTTCATAATTAAGTTATCAATTTTTAGTTGCTTCTAAAACAGCTTACCATTCGTTTTTCGCTCTTCCTTTTTTTTTTTTAAATAAAATAAAAATGTTATTGCAAGTTAAGTGGATACAGTTTTTCCTATGAGAGATTCTAGCTAGCAATGATATACAGTTACGGCGATGTTATGATCTCACGTTAGGTTATTAATTCCAGGACCTCTTAGCCGAGTTGGGTTACTCACACCTTAAGTGAACTCTCTTTCACATTTAGGAAATTGTTATCTTTTATGACCCCGTTTATCCATGCCCCAAGTTGTTGCATCCCATACTTGGGATGCGTAGTGTTTTCTCTTAACTATTCTAAATTCTTGAATTGCAGATGCAAGAATTTATGCTGATGCATTATTAATTGCATATTAGCAAACATTTTATGCACTTAGCAGTTGGGATATGCAAATTTCAGAACAGGTTGCACCCTTTTGCTAATAACAAATAATCATTGGAATCAATTGATATCATGAGGCGAGGTCTTGAAGGAATGTATTGCCATGTGTCCCGTAAAGGTTGCATTCTTTAGGGGTATGTGTAGTTAGAGGATGGAGGATCTATTTATTTGGTCGGTCGGTCGATCGAAGGGTTAGTGTGCTGATAAGTAAAAAAATCCATCTTGTTCTTCTTGTTCAGCCTTCAACGGCTAGTACCGTCTAACCTTCCTAATAAACATAACTTTATAGGTGACCATTCCTCTTCCCAGACGAGCTGATAATCTCCATAGTGTCACTTTTACCTATGAAAGAAGCAATACGGATTAGTGTCCTCACCCAAAAATGGCAATTCTTCTGGCTTTCTAATACGATGCTTGACTTTGATGCTTCATTATCAATTCGCGAGTTCAAGAATAGTAAAAGGTCCCTTTTTAAGTGAAAGGGTAAGATACATTGAGCAGGTGAATCGATTGCTGAGCCTGCATTCTGGTGAGTCCATAGACAAGTTGCGGATATCGTTCGAATTGGATATAAGTTCTGCCCATGATATCGATAGATGGATCAAATTTGCATTTTCTAAGTGGGTTAAAAGGCTAGCATTGGAGTTCGTGCAGCCCGGTTATCTTAGACGCGGTCAATACACTTTCCCAAACCAGGGCCTACCGGTTTGTGAGTCTTTGGTGTCGCTCATTCTGCGTAAAGTGGCAATTGATGGAGAAACTCTCGAGTTTTTCTTAAATAAGTGCCCATTACTCGAGGAATTACATGTGGAAGATGTTAACTATTTGAGAAGTTTGAAGGCCAGCTGTTGCCCGAATCGGCTGAGGCGGCTGGCGGTAATTGGCTGCCTGGACTTGAGAATGCTCGAGATTTGCTCGCCTGCTCTCGTCTCCTTCACATTGGACGCGTCTGAAATTGTTGTGACCCTGAAAAATGTTTCGTCTATCGTTGACTTAACCCTTGAGGCACTATGGCCTAGCAAGCTGTCCACTTATTTGTTCAGAATTTCCGGGTGCTTGGCTCAGCTGGAGACACTAACGCTGTGCACACCCATAATGCAGGTTCTCTCTCTCTCTCTCTCTCTCTCTCTCTCTCTCAATCAAAGGGTATTAAAAAAATCTGTTTTTTGTGATGCGTGTGAATTAGGAGATTGAAGAGCTGGAATACCCAAATTTACCGAGGTTCAAAAAATTAGTAATTGAAGTCAAGGGAGGTGGTTTGTAACACCCCACTTTGATTTTAAAGAAATTCCGGACTTTCCAAAAATCAGTATAAAATTTTCGAAACTCATTTTCGAAATCATGGGCGTTATACAACAATAAACATCAACCAAGTCATCTCTGGTTGTTCACATGGTTTTCATTAACCTTTCAAAACCCAACTCCACATTGTTATTTGCTAAACACTATAGCATGCACATGATATTCAAAAGACAATTCCCTTACGAATATCCAAAACCAAACATTTGACCATAAGTTCTCAAAATACGTTTTGAAAATAGATCAAAGTGTCTTAATCAAAAGAGTTTCTCAGACACCACATTTTATTCATGAACGGAAGCATAATCATTAAAACATAGTCAAACACCGACCCACTCGTCATCCTCCGTCATCCGGCACCTGCTTAACCTGCATCCGTGAAGAGCAGGTGGGAGTGAGCACAAGAGAAAAATAGTGCTCACTACTATGCACATAAACAACATATGACAATGGTACGGTCGCAGCATGAATATAAGATAATCACATATTGTCTCATCTCCTATCAAATCTCAACAACCACATTACTCCTGTGCACATCTATCGCTAGCCGCAGAACGGGGATTCATTACCCGAAGGCGGGAGTACATGCCACGCTACGGACACGACCTTCCATATGGGCTTACGTACCTCGCAAGGGCACGGCCATATCAGGACTTAAGGAGACTTACCTCGCAAGGGCAACCGTATTACATCGACGGGGACAACCGTGCCGATGGCCGTAACAGCTCACATCGATAGGCTACATATTTCATATTCATACTTAGATCATACCGTAAGTAAAACATTCATCATTCATGGCATAGATGATTTTAGATTAGAACCCACCTGGTGCAGCAAAAAGGGAAACAGCACAAGCAAGGTTAGGCAGCGAGCACGGCTCGTCAAACACCTACAATAAATATTATACTAAGATCAACACTTTTGACCTTAGAGGAACAAACACAATCATACTTGGTCGAACTCAAGTCAACC